TGTTGAAATTCTTTTAGACCCGAGTCCGTTGATCTGTTTTGCTTGTTTGCAGCTGAAAAGAAAGGATCAAGCCTTCACTTCTGGCATTTGCATGCTGCTTTGAAAGCAAAGGTGTCATAATTGTATTTCTATAGCAAGCATGTTACTGCTCAACTGGCAGTAGCTAAGCTCTCCTGTCCTCAGCACCTCACACATATACTTAAAATCAGTAGAAATTCTTGAAGTTAATGTGGGCTTTTTGCAAAAATGGAACCCAAATTAATGCATGAATAACCTCAACAAAAAACGACAAAATCCTTTTTTACTCTGAGCTTATAGCAAATCTCATTTTCTTGCTGTCTTTTTAAAACCTAGGAGAGAAGAATTCTAGAATTAAACTGCCTCATTGTTCCCAGATATGGTTGAAATGGAAAGACACATTACAGCGGGTCAGATCTCTGCCTGTCATTTCACTTAAGTGGCATATTTCTGCCACTTGTCAGGTATGAAAACATAGTAAAAAATCTTTAGACCTTCTTTGTGGCAATACTGCCTGTCAGCATCAGTATTTTATGTTATGGAAAGATCTAATAGCCTCATAAAATACCAGGGTTTTGAGCTGTAGATGAGGTAGTCTGTACTTTTGTCATCTAATTTTTTCCTTTCTTTTTTTCATTTGTAAATAAAGGATGATAAATAACTTTGATTAAACAGACTAGACTGACCAGATGGCAATGGATTGAAATGAAGGGAAGATCAGCTCCAAACAGGTATTAATTGGACATGATAGCTTTCTTTTCACTGCTGCCAAAATCTCGGTAGCTACTTCTCTAGGTAAAAGTGCATGCTTGTGTTTTTCAATGACTCTTTAAAATCAAAACCCACAGAGGCAGTAAGGTGGATTTAAAATTACTGAACTAGTGGGCTTAGAGGGTTGTGATCAGCAACACAGAGGTCAGCTGGAGGCTGGTTGGTCTTTGGAGTACCCAACCAATCTCTCTGTTAAGGATGTGAAGGTTATGGGATGGAGTGCACTCTCAGCAAGTTTGCAGATCAGACCAAATGAGGAGGCACGTTTGATGCACCAGGTGGTCGTGCTGCAATACTTTGACAGGCTGGTGAAGTGGACAGGGAGGAACCTCATGAAGTTCAGCAGAGGGAAGCGCGAAGCTCTGCACCTGGGGAAGAATAGCCCCGTGTATCGGTACAGACTGGGTAAGTGCCTCCTGGCTGGAGAGCAGCTCTGCAGAGAAGGATCTCGGGATCCTGGCACACAAGTTGAGCATGAGCCAGCGCTGCACTCTCCCAGCAAAGAACGCCAACAGCATCCTGGGCTGCACGGGATTAGCATTGTCAGCAGGTCCACAGAGGTGGTCCTTCCCCTCTGCTCAGCACTGGTAAGGCTGCCTGGGAAGTGCTGGGTACAGTGCTGAGCTCACTGGTACGGGAAAAACACGGAAGCTTTTCTTGTTGCCCTTGATGTCCCTGGGCAGATTTAATTCTATCAGGGCTTCTGCCTACAGAGGGTGGAAGCAAAAGGACAGGTAGCCTGGGAGGAATACAGAGACATTGTCCAAGCAGCCAGGGATCAGGTTAGGAAAGCAAAAGCCCTGATAGAGTTAAATCTGGCCAGGGATGTCAACAGCAACAAGAAGAGCTTCTGAGGTACACTGGTGATAAAGGGAAGACTAGGGAAAATGTGGGCCTTCTCCGGAAGGAAATGGGAGACCTGGTTACCCAGGATATGGAGAAGGCTGAGGTACTCATTTATTTTTATAACTCAGCCTTCATTGCTA